AGCTACAATTTAGTACATTTTTATTTTTTTTTTCATATATTCAGTATTTTCGGGGATTTTTAAAAAAAGAAGGGTAAAAAATATGAAATTGTAAATCGTTTCTCGCTTTATGCTGTACTTTTTCTAAAACTAAGCATTTTAAATGGGTCAAACTTCTTGGACGTATTAACAATACATGTAGAAAGAGAATTGCAGAAGGGTGAAGATCGATTTTAATTATGACGGTGGTTAGGGGGTTGTTTCATCGATTTTTTTCGTAAAAAATGAGGTACTGACTTATTTTCATCATAACTCACTGAATTTTTGAGCTAGAGTCTTTTTTATGATAGGTCTATTTATGTTCTTTAAAAAAGGTTCTGTGAGTTTTCTTCCAAAAATGCATCATTTTCCCGATATTTGACTTTGAATCTTTCAAATTTGGCATTTGAAGAAAACCGCTGAACATTGATAGGCCGTATTTCGGTTTCTGTTATATCGCAAAAACATTTTAAAAAATGAATTGTATTTGTCTTTTTAAAAGCTACAAATTTGTTCTCTACAATTTTTTTGATAAAATGTACCATTTTCGAGTTATTCGCGAAAAATCGATTAAAAACGTCGATTTTTTCGTCTAAAAGTTGTTACTTTCAATCGCGAATAACTTGAAAAATATCAGTTTCACAAAAAAAATGTATGGAATATTATTTTATAGATTTTGATCCTTGGCTATTACCTACATTCTGTTAACATTTCAAGTCAATCCACGCAGGACGAAAAAATTGCGAGGTGAAATGCATAATTTCCTTGACTATAAGTGGTTTGAGAGCATAATAAAATCGTAGATTTATGTGTAGCTTTCAATTTTTATGATTTCAGAATCCAGCAGCCCGCTGAAGTATTGGATTTTTATAATATAATTATTTGACAACCTTTTGTTGGTCAACCACCTACAGTAGAATTAAGCCGAAATACATAATATTTCGTATGTTCCGAATTTATTTCGTTCAATCTTTATATATAGTAATAATATATAGAGAAAATAGAAATATACCTTTTACATAAATTATAAAAGTCAACCCACCACGTGCACATTTTATAATACACTATTATTCCCATTTCTATTAAAAGCTATTATTTATTTTAATATTCATAATATAAGAAATAATAGCCATTTATTAACATTATTAAAATTATTTCTAAATAGATCCATTGCACATGGTTTTTTACTTTGACGACCTACGCGCTTTTATACTTTTTTATTGGATCCATTAATAATTAAAAAATTCAATTTTTTGTTTAAAAAATTATGATATAAGTTTTTGTTCTGTTACGAAAAAAGAAAATTATTGATTGATCTACTAAATTAGATTTTTATTAAGTTTATTTCTATACAGGATATTGACAAACTTTAGGGGGTAATTCTTCGTGAAAAAAGAATGATATATTTCAGAAACGAGTGCGCAAATGCTTCGTTTTTCTAGATACAGCCCGTTGATTTTTTTTTTGACAAACTTGTCATCGAGGGCCATAGTCTGAGAACTTGTACGCACTCCGCATCCGCATGAAGATATAGTACAACTGTACTATATCTTCAAGTACTGCTTGGAAAAGATACACTTTCCAAGTAACTGGAAACACGCCAAGATAATTCATCTATTAAAACCTAGGAGAGATGGAAGAAGACCGGAAAGCTACAAGCCAATATGACTCCTTGAAACAAATGGAAAAATCCTGGAAAAAAACATCTACAAAAGGCTAATGATGCATGCACAAAGAAGAAGAATCTTCCAAGAAGAACAATTCGGATTCAGAAAAGGAAGAAACTGTGAACTCCAACTAGCAAGAGTCATCAGGTACACGAAGATAAGATACGACACGGTTTGGAAGAAGGCACTAATCTTGCAGATGGAGAAAGCTGGACTTCCTCATTATTTAGTTAACATATGTGACATGTATTTAACAAATAGAACATTTCAAGTTTCAGAAGACCAAAAGATGTCGATGATCCAAGAAATCCAGGAAGGGATGCCAGAGCAGAGTTCTCTCGCCCATTTTATAAACATATTTGTTTCAGATATACCAACTGACCCTAAAACACCTACAGCCATCTACGCGGATGATACAGCAGTGTATGCAACTGGAAAGGATGACAGAAGAATCATCAGGAATCAAAATCAACGCAGAGCACACACAATTCATCATGATTACACAGGAAAACAACCCACCAGTGCAGGAAATATCAGTCCAGTCAAGAAAACCAGGAATCCGAGAGGAAGAAAAATCAACATCAGGCAGTGCAAGAGCGGGACATCAAGAAAGAAGACTAAGTATCTTAAGTTAGCTTTAGTGTGAAATGTAAATATTATTAGGACAATAAACGTTTTTATTTTTATTTTAATAATAAAGCCAGACAGGTCAGTCCTTCTCGGACTCCCCTAGAGCATGGCGCTCTAGGGGCTCTGCTTATTGTTTCCTAGACTCTGTGGGTAAGTTTCGTTTCTACTATACCTGTTGTTTCATTTTAACCCTAGTATTGGTTTATTTTACTTTTCCTTGTCTTTGTCAAGACAAGATAACATCAAGAACGCGTTTTTCGTGGTTTTACACCGCTTATTTCCCACAAAAAGACGACAAACTGACGATTTATTTATTGCTCTGAATCCGGCAAATGAAATTTGGTGGGTTTTAAGAGCTCATTTTTTGACATACAATAAGAGTTTTTTCCCATGATAATTTGGTATTCGGCCGAATAGCTAATAAATCAATTTCAAGAGTTGCCATTTTAAAGCTTGAAGCGTGGAAGCGAAGATGATTTTATAGCAAATTTTATTAAAAACGATTTATTTTTTACTGGTAGATAAAGGTACTTAAAAATGTTCATTGTTGGCCTCAAATTGTAAATAATTTAAAAAATTTACCAAACTAAACAGGAAACATATAGGTTTTAGTTAGTGATGTCCATAAAACTCAAAAAACTTGTCAGATACCTAGCCGGATCAAATACCTCAACAGAGTACTTTTTACCTCATTTCTCTATAGGGTGGACCGAGGATGGTTTAGACACTTATTGGGTTTTATTTTTTTTTCCTTTATCTAAATATTTTACCATTTTGGTTGTTAGGCTAATGTTTAGAGCACTCCTTTAGGTTTATTTATAATATATAAACTTTTTGAGAGTCATATATTTCAAAGAATGTCCTCGCAAATTAGATGCACTGCATTTGTCCAAACTTTCCCCGTGTGCGGAGATACTTTGGACGGCACCTGAGGATGGTACGGACAAGCACATGAACACAAAAATAATGAATAAGTAACAGAAATCTTTCTAATTTATATATTTCAGGTTTTCTAAAATGTGGTATCTTATCATTTGATAAAAACACTTTTCAAGGTCACGATTCTTTCTGCTCTGCGCTCTTAGATCGTCCATATTCTACTTCGGACACTCTTGTCCGCAGTACTTCCTCAGAAACTATCGAATCACAACATATGAAGAAGCAGGCTGAGATACTGCTGTTGTGGATCCTTCCATCACAATTAGCTGTTCAGCAAAGACTCAGACAACAATTCCTACATCGAGTTGTCAGTTTCCTACAATAAATCGTTCTACATTGACGCAACCAATGCTTTTTGTTTCTCCAGAACAGCTGAATCCGTCCCCAAAAGCTAGGCTACGGAAATTGGCTAAACGTGACCAAGAGCGTAGAAAAAGTAGAATCGCCATAGGCACATCGGAAAAAAAAGAACTTAAATCAAACGGTAGAATGAAGATAGCAAAGAAGGCAAAGGTTAAAAAGAACAAAATATTTACAGAAAAGAAGACTTTTCTAAGAATATTCTTCCGATGAAGACTTGGAAGAAGTCATTATGAAGGATTCTAATCTAACGTAAATAATTTTCATTGACACAAATTATGCCCACTTGGGTCATTAGTTCTCCTCGCTCTCTGAAATCACCCAACCGACTTGTTTTTCACCCTTTTGTCCAATCACTTTATCACTTTGGTCACCGGAGGCACTGTTCTAACTGCCGTTTCATTGAACTTGAATATATTTGAAGGTCGAAAGTTCTTCCTTTACACAACAATGTTCAATTTGCCAAAGAACTCGCCTATCATGGTTTTATTGGACTCAGTCATTCTGGTAAGACAAATTGCCTCAGATTTTCTACTGGCTAACGTAAGCATTACTATTCATACACTAAATAAACCAGTCATCGTCCTTTTTCTTTCCAGACTTCGGGTAAATTTAGATTTTTTGCTCAGCAAATTGTACAGCAGTGCTTCTGCATTCTACGGTGTCACTTCGTAAAACCTTTTAGAGCAATGTAGTAAATAATCCGCCAGTACTTTCTTCATTTGGTCTGAGAAAACCTGTCATAAAAGTTTGGTTTAAACGACATGATGTCTATGCTCATTTTTCTGACGTTCATTACATAAAGTGCAAGACGAGATTTCGTTACTTTATAAATAGCTGCCATGTGGAGCAAACTTCCACGATTCTTTAAAACATCTTTTATCACCTGCAGCACTTTACTTCCAGGAAAAGTTTGTTAGGTTGTTCTTTTAAATTATTGTAACATCTAGAATAAGCGAATGCAGTGCGTATATAATTAATAAATATATAGAGGATACAATGAACAACTTGTCCATTGTATGCCAAACTGATGAAATCACACTTTTCTGACCGCGAATTTTCAACCAAAAATTTTATAATAATTATAAAATATTCATAAATATGTTCCTACGAGTCACCTCTGACTGCAAATGAAACCCCAAATAAAAAACATCAAACTGTGTTACAGAAAAACCTTATTTACCTTTAAAAGTTAGATCGATGGTTTCAAATTCAAAACAAACTCTGTAATAGTTCTAATTTGACAATGGAGGCCACATGATTTTGTCAGCTGATCTCTCGCAGTGTTGCCAAGACGTACAATCATCGCGGCAGTAGAATCTACATTACGGTTGAAAATATGATCCATCCATTGTATTCCCGTATCTAAACCATCCCCGGTCTCCCCTAATAGTTATTTATATTCCATATTCTTAAATTTAGCTTACCTGTTACTGGAGCATTGACAGATAAATTGGAATTGACTGATCCATCGTTGAACTTATATCCACACAAGCTGGTGCCATCAATAACTATGTAATCGTTAGGGCAATCAAGGATTCCCACTCCTGCTGTTCCTACTGGTACTGTAGTGACTCCATCTAAAAATTTTATTATATCGGATAAATGCCAATTTGTTTTGAAAACTAAGTTGCTTATAAATTCGACGAGAACAAACTTGATTTAGATTTTAAATTTCAAGCTGTTTTTTTAGCCTTATAGATCTTCCTACACTGCTACTAGAAAGATCTCTTTTATATCTATATCTGCTATCTCCAACTTGTTTCGCTAAATCTCATAATTTCTACGTATGTGTTCATTTCTTGTTCCAGCTTGCTTATTTCGTATCTTCCATGTTCTTACAATCCGTGTAGCAATAAGTGTGGTATTTCTCAAGAATATATCTAACACACTTGCATTTTTTCTTGATTTTTCTTTAACATGTTTACTATTAATAATACAACCTTCGACGCATTTGCTTTCTTGCTTCTTTCTCTTTTTCTTTCAGATAGAATATACTAATTAATAATAATAATAATGTTAAAAGCTTACTTACTTGCAAAATTTACCAAATTAAATGGAAATTCAACACCATTCATTACATTGGTATAGGTTATAGAACAGTATCCAGGCTGCTTTTTAATGCAGATCGCATAATTCAAGTTATTCTAAAAATAAAAAGAGTAAATAATTTGCAAAACTCAATACCATTAAAGGCGAGTACATTAAAGTTAAAACAAAGAGCAAATTTAGAAATACAAATACCTAAATGATTCAACAAAGCAGCAAAATAAAAAAATGCTTAGTGATCTAAAACATACATCATCTGTACCACAACAAGTACCAAATCATACGGTATGCATTTTAAGCATGATTTTTAAATAAACGTATGGTTTGGAACCAAACTTAAGGCGAAATATGTGGTTTATGCAAGATGGTACACCACCACATTATAGAGAGAGAGGCAGTGAAAACATACTTAAATACAACTTTCCTGAACGTTAGATTGTTCGTAGTAGTTATATTTCTTGGTCATGTGATGAGATATTAATAATTATTTAATTCATAAAAAATCCCAAAAGAGTACTTTTGGGATTAATATACTTATAATAATTAAAGTAACTTGGCTTAAATCGTAATTATTTAAAGTGTAGAATCTACGGTTTCCTTTTGTACAATTACTTAAGGATCGCCCTGTATAAACAGAGGAATTTGATAGTTGGAATTTGAGTTTTTAAAGTTTAATAAGACACGTTAAAAAGAAGAAGAAAAACGAGAAATCTAAAGCCAGAAATACAGTGTAATACTAGGTTACATAATAAAATATAGTAAATGAATAGACTAAAAATAAATATTATATTATACTTACAAAATATCCAGGAACACTTCTGTTAAACATGCTTGATTGATCATAATTGAAGGATGAAATAACTCCAGTCACTCCATCGTATATTTGCAAACAATTATCCTGCAAGCAAATATCTGAATATTGACATATTCTAATCCTGAATCGCTTTCGAAAAGCCATTGTGGCCAAAACCATAAGCCTAAGTGGTCCTGTTGCTTGGGATACGTCGACATAGACTAAAATATAAAGTATAGTAGTAAGAAGTGTTAAGATGAGTTGGACGTGGCAAAAAGCTTATGAACACAATTAAAATAAGAAAAACATCGTAGCTTAGCCATATACTTCGAAACGGTAAATATTCTTTTTTACACGTCATCATGCAAGGAAAAGTAGAGGGAAGAAAAGGCTTGAGAAGAAAGAAGAAATCTTGGCTGAGGAATACCAAAGATTGGACTAACCTCAGTGTTAAACACATATTTCACGGTGCAAAAGATAGGTAAGCGTTAAAAGAATGATCACAACCTTCATTAGAAAACGGCACAATAAGAAGAAGTAGTAACACACTTAACATTCGCTTATTTACCATGAATTTAAACTCGAAAAGCTTTCATTTAAAATATATTCAAATAAAATACAAATAACTTGTTAAACTATTTGTTCGGGCTGTTAGGTCGTTGTCTTCTGAGATTAGTTCTAGACGTTTCGTTAACACTAAGGGTTGGCATCTTCTGAAGATGTTACTGCTTCGCTTGTAAGCTGAAACTGACGCCGCGTTAGTAGTACAATCGGGTGTAACAATTCATTGGAGCAAGGTGTGTTAACTCGAGTAAAAACAGGAGTCACCCCACCGTGCTCCAATGCTCTAGACCATCCCTTTCCCCCCTATAGCAATCTGATTCGCTATAGAGGCACAACAATCAGCCAAATGCTCTTCATGTGGAGGTCCTGGGTAATAGAACCCCAACATGGTTTCCTAACCGAATGTAAAAACTCAGGACAGCCCATCTCCGCTATATTCCTGGTATCTTAATATGGCTTATCCGCGAACTAAAATTGCTTACTTGGACCTCAAGTCTCCGCTCTGAGTCCCGGCTCAGTTTGACGCCGCGTTTGTACTACGGAGGTTATATTTATATTTCCTACTCACCTTCTCTCCACTGGTTTCGGCGTGAGGGGGCGTGTCGTCGTTTGTAGCTTTTCTTTTTTCATGATTTATGGGAAGGGTGTTCGTGGATTTTAATATTTGTATCCAACTTTTAGTCCTTCTTCTATCCGATTAAAATTATTTGGATGCTTATATATTTCCACCGCTTCCCAATATATCCGTGGGTAGTACTGTGATGTTTTATCCAGCATCTGCGTTTCTTCAAACAGTATCCGATGTTCTCCGCTTCCCAAACCGTGTTCGGCAACAACAGATTTATTGATAGGTTCTAAACGACAATGGATGTCATGTTCATTTATCCTTGTGTTTGTGTGTATTTTTGTGGTTCCCATATATACCATTCCACATGTGCATGGTATTCGGTATACTCCGGCCGTTGCTAACGGGTACGTTTGTCCTTCACCGATCTTAAACAATCCTTGATTTTCTTTGTTGGCTTGAATATGGTCTTTATATTCGCTTTTTTAAGTATTTGCCCAATTCTCTCTGTTACCCCCGATATATAGGGCAAGAACGCTTTGCCTATACATGCTGTTTCTTCGTCCTTTCTTCCAGAAACGTTGTTAATGGCTTTATGTATTTCTCTTCTGGTATAACCATTAGAGGTGGGCGCTTTTTCAATGTGAAGAAGTTCACCTTGCAGATGCTGTGGTTCACACATTCTCTTCGTTCTCGTAGCCAGAGTTTTGATGATACCTTGTTTTTGGCCTGGATGATGATTTCCGTTACTGTTTAGGTATCTGTCCATGTGTATTGGTTTTCGATACACTTTATGTCCTAAGTAACCTTCCTTTCGATTTACTAATACATCTAGGAACGCTAGTTGTTGATCTTTCTCTGTTTCCATCGTAAATTGAATATTTGGATATAGTGTGTTTATATAAGACAGGAAATCGTTAGAAAGGGCAGGCGAGTAGAAAATATATATATGGCCTTCGTAGTATAACGCTGCGTCAGTTTCAGCTTACAAGCAAAGCCGTAACATCTTCAGAAGATGCCAATGGTCTAACAGCCCGAACAAACAGTTTAACAAATTAGACGATGGCCGTGAAAATACAAATAGTTGTATTCACAACATCGAGGCTCGCGAAAAATTAATTTGTAGACGACTAGGCTCTTGCCCCTCAATGCCACTAAGACTAAAGTATCATTCAGTTAAACAACAGACTGGTCAACAACGATTACCATACCAAGACTAGTGCAAAACTTATAACACTAACTAATATTCTGCATATGTTAGGCGGTACCACACGTATCCGTTTCTATGTTGGTATCACCTTCTTCTTCTGCCGATTAGTGACGTATCTCTTGCTATTTTTACGCCACGGGTCTCCTCCATTCTGCTTATGTGGTTATTCCATTCGTTTTTTTTTTTTCTATTTTGTGTCTATTTATTTATACACTGTACGTTACATTTTCTTCTAATGTCTTCACTTCTCTTTCGATCTTTCAGCGTATTTTCCGTAATTCTTCTCAGTACTCTCATCTCTGCTGTTTCCAGTAGCCTTTGCTTTGTGGCTGTGACGGGTCTTGTTTCTGAGGCATATGTCAATATTGGTCTTACATTGGCTTTATAAATTGTTGATTTCATCTCAGTCTTAATGTGTCTGTTTCGCCATATAGTGTTATTAAGGCATCATGCCAGTCCATTTGCTTTTTGTACTTGATCTTTCACTTCTTTGTCCAGGTCTTCACAGCTAGACAGTTTAATTTCCAGGTACTTATTGTATTTCCATTACTTGTTCAATACTGATGTCATCAATTTCTATTTTACATCTGGTTGGTTCTTTGCTGACTACTATTGTTTTAGTTTTCTGAGATGAGATCATATTCAATTCTTTTGCTCTTATGTTAAATTTGTGGACCGGTCTTTGTAGACTATCTTCATCTTGGGTTACCAATAGGTAGCTGTTATCTTCATTATTTCAGTAGAAATTTTATGCTACAAAAAAGAGCACCCAGATATTTATGCAAGGTCAAGTTGGATACATCCGTTCCGGAAACATGATATCTTGACATTTCCTTGCATGTATATTCTAAAAGATACACATACCCATAAAAAAACATAAAGGGGATATTCGGACAGTTTCTCCTTATAACACTCGTTTAAATTATGGTATTTCACTACTAATTTCCTCTTCTATATTAATTAAAAAATCATTTATTTACACTGGTAAGAAAGTGTTTAATCACCTACCACTGGATATATTGCTTAAGGTCCTTAAGCAATATTTTTGTATTCCGAAGAGCAATCAAGAAGTTTTTATTATCTAAATGTTACTGTAATATAGAGGAATTTTTTGAGGACAGTTGCGCTAATTGATATATTTTTGTTTTTAATTATGGAAATCTTATAATTAGTATTTTATTGTATCTTGTGCCTTGTTTGTACTAGACAAGTGTTTTATAAATGTAAACTCATTTTAAAAATAATAAGTTTCTCTCTCTCTCTCTCTCTTTCTCTCTCTCTAATATTGCGTCGTCTGTGTAAAAAAGTATTTTGATTTCTTTGTTTCCCCTTCTGTATCCTCTTCCTTTGTTAACGCTTTTGATGCTTTCATCTATGATCAAATTGAAGAGCATGGGGTTCAATGAATCCCCTTGTCTTATTCTGCTGCCTATTTCTATAGGTTCTGTAAGTTGTCCATCTATTCTGACCTAAATTTTGTTGTTTTGGTAGATGTTTTCAAATATACAGGGCCACAGCACCTTTACTTCATGAAAGTGAAGGTGGCTGTGGCCCTGTATATTCCTATGAAGAAAAAAACTTTGAATATTAAGTAGTTTTCCGTACACAGACCGATGCATATAGGATGGGCCACCCTGTATATATAATAGCTTTTAACTTCACTTCGTTTTTAATCTTGAAATTTCTTTTATAATATTGAATTTATTTATATTAAGAAATAAAGTTAACATATTAATTCACCTTTTTAACAATTAACTATAAAACACTTTAAATAGAACTGTGTATTATAGTGATGTATATTTCCATGTATTTTCATGCAAATAAGGTATAAATCATGAACAGTAAATATGTGTATTCATTTTTACCTTAAACAAAGGGTTGTCCATATGCACGTAAACGACACTTTTCGTGTAAAAGGGCACCGGAAGTTAGACATGCAAGGACGTTACTAATGATTAATGGTTAT